TGTATATTCTGCCAATTATTAACGTTGAAAAAAATTGATTTTGCAAACAAGTAGAACTGATTGCGAATAGTTATTGGTCTTTGGTTGGTAGGAATGTCCTGTGAGGCCACCAGACAGAAACCATTCATAATCAATATCTTCTAGCAGTCGCTCAGTAACCCACATTCTCCTCATTTCCTGCCGTTTGTTATCGAGCAATAGTGCGGCCTCAGACTGCTTTACTTTCATCATCCTTATGTGCGTACAAGCAATCATCCAACCTGCCTGCTAATCATTTACATTACGCTGCCATGTTGGCTTTCAGGTATGCGCCAGCATTTACCGTGGACGGTCGGCATTGCCCCTTTCTAACTATCTTAGGTGTCCACCTTCAGCCACCGTTTTCCCTATATTCTTTCGCTTGCCACCCCTTTTACCGGGTCCTGCTCACTTGCACTAAAACCATCTTCATCAGCTTACCCTTCAGCCTTTGGGCAATAGGGTTCGTTACTGATATGGTCAGAGCACCGGCCTCGCCGGCTGCTTGTTTTTTCTTCTATCCATGTCCATGATCTCGCCATACCATTGTGGTGTCCATGTCGTATGAGCGTTCCGGTTTGCCGGCACCATGTACTACTGGATGACCAGTGCACGTCGCTTTCGGAATGCCAGCTTCCCGTTGTCATCCAAACCACAACCCGCCGCCCTCTACGGCATATCGTTAGTTCAGTTTCCTTTAAGTTTCGCCACTCCCACTTCCTTCTCGCGCTGTCTAACATATCCACTGTTCAGATTAGAACGGCATATGTGTCGATTCCCTGCGCCTTACCGTACTATCCAGCCCATTTCCAACCTACATCCCTCGGTCATGCGTTTAAGTTTTCTAGACCCTTTTCCATTCTTGTGTTGTATATACTGCGTTCCGGCTTATTTAGATCCCCTAGTTAACTTCATCATGTTAAGTGCGTCTGGTATGCCTTATTGTGCTGTCTTTTCACGTGAGTGTAGCGAAGAGCACAATGTTCGTGTTGTACGGCATCAGCAGAGCCTTCTAGTTTTCAATGAAACTCTCTTCAAAAAGGTTTTTGGAACATTCCCGAGGCCGCAATTGGAGTATAATAGGCAAACTTGATGACCATAGATGACTCTAGATAGAGTAGTCTCGAAAGAGTTTACAGGAAAACCACCAATGTGGTTAAGCTTCAGAGCCCCTTAACCCATGCAACCCGCTTAAATAATCTTAAGCTTTTGCTTTTGAATTATAATCAAACTGATGTGGATCTGCTAAAGGCGTTCCGAATTGTTAAGGGATTGGATTGGTATTTGACGCCTTTTTTTAATTTCGACCATGACCAACCTTCGAGCTCACTTATTTAAACTGCGCGTTCATCGAGCAAGACTAGGAGTGCACAAGCTCTCCTTCTTTGCCAGAGTTGTCAAAACATGGAATACCCTCCTTACATATGTTGCGATGTCGTCATCACTGGAATGCTCTAAAAGAAACCTTAGCGGATATATGCTTAAAAGTAAGCCAGTTCGATGAGCTATTTAACTTCGTGCCTAAGACGCTCGCTCCATTTTCATGTTTTATAGTCCCTTTTGTAATGCGGCAACTTACGTAATTTCTTCTTACATTCCACTCAATTTCACGTTGCAACTAAGTTACTCAAAGGCTCACGCCTAAATTCCTGGATTAAACTCGGGTTTCGAAAGCATCATCTTTTCCACTATGTTCCCATACCTCGCGTTTCATATTTATAGTCCTCCATTATTTTTCGTTCAGGTTCGGCTTCCAGATAGCCCACTAGGCAGCAGGGTTTGCTAAGGACTGCGTCGGATCAACCCCCCGCGCCGGCTGTTTGTTCTTCTTTCTGCCCAGGCATATCATAAGCAGTGTAATCGAGTTTTTGTAGACATTCGTGGCATTCAGGATTGGCTATACCAATGACGTTTAAGGACCAGTCCAAGCCGCGTTTGGAATGCCGTTTTTCCTGTCCCCATTCCTGTGCGTCTTCTGTCATTCATTCTCTAATTGCCTTCACGCCCATGTTTGTTGCTTATATATCTTGCTCCGTCCCTCTCCTAATCATGCACTCAGGCGTAGCAAATCCTACATTTACTGCATTTTCTTTACGCGCTCTGGTTATATTTCGTTTTCTTATCTCGATTAAACTTAGTCAGTGTGTCCGGCGTTTGCGTTTCGCCCGCAGAACCACACGCTTTAACTTCCGGCTTCGTGGCTTCGTTCACATAAGTCGCATTATCCGCCGTTTGTCCTTCCTTATCCGCTTAGGTCCAGCTTCCGTTAAGTACATTAGACAGCGTCATCCTAGTCCCCGGTCCGACAGTTTTGCTTTTACATGCCCACCGCAAGACTATCGATTCGACCTTATCGCCACCTTCCTTTAGCCCACCACCCTTAAAAATGTTTCGTACTTCAACCCAGAGCATCTTATCTTTCTATAAACGCTTTCCAAACTCCGGCTTCCTCCAACCCAGTTCCTATAATTCGTTCGGCGTGCGTTACAATGCAGAGCATACATCCAGCTCACATGAACACATGTAGTGGTCTCTGCCGTCCGATGCCCTCCATTGCTTTGTCCGGCGTCATTGTTCAAGGCCAGCTGTCTCAAGGTCATCCAATACCTCAGTCAGCGCTTACAGACGCGTTGACCTGTAGAGACTTAACCTACTTCCACTCGGACACACACATAAGTGCGTCTAGGTTCTTGCGGGTGCCAAATCACCACTCAAACATGTCCCTTTTTCCCCACCCTTGGCCGCCAAACGTCACTTAGGACAACGGCGCTCCAATGGAATGACGTGTGCTCCGAAGTCCAACTTCTTTCCCTCTATTCTTCGTTCCTTTGTGTACACAATAAACTATTCCTTTTATTCTGGCCTCTACTGACTTCTCCTCTACTAAGTAACCATGGTATGAAAATCGCAGTTGCTAGGGTTTAACCTACTAAATCCCCTGCGATACACCCTCATAAACAACTCAACTTCCACTAATCCCCCACCTTCACACGACCAATGACTTTCCTGTAACGTCCCAGTACTGCTGTAATTCTTAACAACAGGCACTGCCATTACCGTCCACTTTTGCTAGATAACTTGTTCAATTGCTGGTTTGTTAAAGTCATGATCAGGGCAGTCCACGTTGTTCGACCTTCTACTGTATGGCCTACCCTTAACCATACCGCTCTTCACCTACTGTTATCAGTGGGTACAATCTGATCTTACCTTAATGGGAACGATTAAGTCTCCTTCAGTCTTCAATTCCAGCAACATCGGTCAGGCCTACCGAAGCAAGCTTGTGTTTCCTACTTTGTACCATAACATGAAAAAGAAGACAAAGTGATACTTCAACTATTAATAATAGGTTACATTTAAACTATTCGTTTTTAAAATATCTGCTTTATCGGTGTTTTTTTCCACGTTTCCATCAGTGCCGCCCTTC